ATAGCGGTGGTTGTATCACGATGGGAAGCTCGGTGTTGTTTCTCAGCAGCAGGCTTTAAAGTATTAAAATGAAAGCTGTGGTTGAGAGATGTGTTATTAGACTAATAACGGCGAAGCATCAGTGCATCAGCAGCAGTTTACTGTTGGAGCTGCTGCAGTTTGAACTACTTTCGTTTTATATTCAGAGACAGAAGATAAATCTGACGACTCCAAATAGAAAAAGGAAGATGAAAAATGGGTTTTCAGTTTTTGTCTAATCGTTCATTTTTTTGTTGAAATATTGGACCATTTTATTGAAATTAAACAACACTGCTGTTTGGAAGAAGTCAAAAATGTTTGAAAACTGGTTTAATCTTTACGTATGAGCATCATAACGAGAAAAAAATTACACAGTTACCTTCTAGTACTGCATGTCAGGATTGTGAACTTTCTATTTAGAGGTTCTCTCTCATTGGTTGGATGCCAGAAAGCTATTTTTAATACTTCCTGTTTGGTTCTGGGAATATTTGCTCTGTTTCTGATATTGCATAGGTCAGACTGATGGCATTTGATCATCAGATTATTTAGAAATGAAAATATTAAAGCAAGCAGCTGCTGTGTTGTGGAGCTGGATCTGTGTGAGAGTCTGGAGATGGGATATTCCCACCGCACAGTATCATCCTCCGCTAATAGAGTTTCCACATTCTGCTCCAGTTATTTTAAGACGGGCCTGTCGGAGCGTCTGTTTACTGCTGTCCAAGCAAATGTTACAGGGTCTGATTTGGACCGATTACAGGGACGAGATGAATCTACGCGGGAATTTATTCTAGTAAATCTCACGCTGTGGCCTTTAGGTTTGATACAGCTGCTCCTTTGGACACTGTGTCGTACTGCTGGGATCATTCAGAATTTACATGTTTACCCTCAGCGGACAGTCAAGTTGTATTTTAATGTATTTTTAGTATTTTATGTGTATTTTAAACCTGCATTAAAGAATAAAATTGACCCAGTTTAGCTAAATTTACTGTAAACTGTCCCAAACAAGTTTTTCACAGCGTTGAGAAAATCGTTTTATTTGCTCATTCACATGATAATATGAACAGTTAATAGCAGATGAGCTCAGTTTCTCAGTTTGTTACGAACACCAAACACAGTCTAACACATCAGGTCAGTCGTAAATGTTTCTCTCATGATTTTGCAGCTTTATTGTTGTTTTCAGAAGCTGCTGCTTGTTTTGCTGTTGAACTGAGTTGTATAATACAGAGATGTTCCTAATATTTCACCCAAACCCATTTTTAAACATATCTTAAACATTTATTCTGATTAAGAGGCATGAAGGCCTCGTTTACAATGTCGCAAAGTAAGAAAATGAACAAGTAATTAGAAAAGATTAAGATATTAAAAAGACAAAATAAGCAAAAATAATAAGACAATGAACAACCATAATAGTGGTTTTTGCTCTTTAGACCAACATATTTAGGATCCAGCTCAAGTGTCTGGAATAGTTTGTGTGACGTTTAGTTATATTGCAGTAATTTGAAATTTTACTGACCTTGACGCAGGATTTCAGAGTTTAAATCCTCCCTGGTTGCATTCAGTTTATTAAACCATATTTTATTATTCAATTTGCGGAGATTTGTGCCTTTAAGTTAAACATATTCTCATTAAATGCAGCATCGTTGTCGATAATTGATTAATACGTGTAACAAATTGAGTGTAGGTTAAGTTTGTCCAGTGCAAGCAGCTGCTACAGATGAAATGAAATGAAAAATACTTTATTTATCCCAGAAGGGAAATTCAATGATCTATAATACTTGAAATGTTTAGATCAGATTGGATTCCTTTATTGACATTGAGTACACGGAGCTTACGCAACGAGATTTAGATTATGGAAACAATAATATAAATGATAAAATAAACAGTAAACATAGCAAAACACAGTAAAAACACAGTAAAAATACAAACCTATCCCCAATATGAGTGCAGAGTGCAGTGAATATAGAAGTTATTGCGCTCTTGTTTATTATCTAATGCTAAATATTTAATGGCTCATGGGATCAGGACATCCACGGTTCGGCCACTGTTTGACCTTTTGCACGTGATGTTTTTGTTCAGTTGTACTGCAGTAATTTGAAGTTTGCATTTATTGACTTTTTAGTATTGAACTCCTCCCCGCTCAGTTTATTAATCTGTGTTTTACGGTCACTTATTCAGCTGCTTTGAATCCATAAAGCCGAGCTCAGCTTGACTGGCCGTGACCTTGTTGCACCGAGAGAAGCTGCAGCCTCTTCGTCGTTCTTCACATAGAGATGCTTTGTGGCTTCTCTGCCGTTGTTTTATCCGTCGCGTTGGAAGTTTCCCGCCCGTTCGATTGGCCGCGGGAGCGTCTCCTGCGGCTTCTATTGGCTGCGTCGGCCCAGCGAGGCCTTGCGGCGCCTTATCAGCCAGTCCAGCTGTTGTCCCGGGGGGGGCCAGTCCGGCTTCCTGTCCTAATGCACTGCTCGATAACAAAGATGTCAGTGTGCGGAGGAGCCCGAGAGGGAGGAGGTCGGCTTCACACGAGACCTCGGGCTGCACAAAACGCCCGGAGCCTCCATCACATGACCGCGAGGCTGAATGTCGAGGCTGCAGAGTTCACGTGAACAAAACAGGAGTTGAGAGAGCAGTCTGCATCGATTATTAAACGCACTCTCTGCAGCCTTTAGAATCAACCGAGAATCGCTGTGTTTGCTTAGTAATGGATGAATCTTTATTTTTACAGTTTGATTCATTCACTTAAAGGCGACTAAACTGGAGCTTGATCAAATTATTAAAACGTTCCTGAAGCTGATCCGTTTACCATCTAACTCGTTCAACATTTAACCCTCTGAATTCAAAGCAGTGTTTTTTTTTTTAGCTCCTGTCACATTTTTCCTCCCTGTAGGCTCATTTTTCACTGCATTATAAAGTCCTGCACCTCTGTGAAGACAAAGCAACCATG